GGCCCCTCGGGGACTGAGAGGAAGTGCAGGGCACAAAGGCATCTCCTTAAGAAGGTCAGGCAGAAAGACGGGCCCCAGCCCCAGCCCCCCAGGTGCCTGACACCTGCAAAACCACAGCCCGGCCACAGCCCAGCATCACTGCCCTTCCCTTACCCGCATCCGGTGAACTGTTCCACCAGTTTCTCTGATTTCATGCCACTCTTGGCGTTCTAAGAAAGAAAATGGAAAAGAAATTGAGTGGTCCCAGAAACAGGTGTGACAGAGACCTGCCGTTTAAGACGACCAGAGTGGACAAAGCTGGTGACTCTCGCCCCACCTGAGGGCAGCTCCCATAACCTGATGGCTGCTTAACTGCCCTTCCCCATCCAGGAGTCTAGACCCCCACGAAGGCAGGGACCGTGTCTGCCGTGGTAGACCCCCACGAAGGCAGGGACCGTGTCTGCCTGGTTCCCACAGCATCACACAGCTCACAGTGGAGTCGGTCAGCATGTGTGGATTTAAATGAATGAATGGATGAGGCAGTGAATGAATGAAGTTATCTCTGATCTATATGAGAAACACAAACAAAGCCATGAAACTGCTCAGCAGAGAATTTAGTCACTGGTTTTGATAAAAAGAAAAACGAGTTGGAATGAGTTTGGCTGGACTTGGCTTATTTTTGGAATGAGTTTGGTTGGACTTGGCTTATTTTTGGAATGAGTTTGGTTGGACTTGGCTTATTTTGCGGGATAGGTCAGTGGTCAGCCCTTGGACACAGATATAAAGGTTCTGCTCACCAGGCACCCAGAGGTGGGGGAGGGGATGCTGGGGAGTAGGAGTTGGTGGCGTCCCTTTTCTGGGGCATTAACACAAGTAGGTGTAGACTAAAGAGAGGGGTCCGTGGGGTGGAGAGTTCTAAAAAGGCTTCCTGAAGGAGTGGACCGGGACTTCGTCACACCCACTCATTGTGACTAAGAGACATCATGCCGTGGGTGAGGGCAGTGGTGTCAACTCCATGGTCATGGACAGATGGCCTCCATGTGATATGGGCCATGGGGTTACCATTGGCCCAAACAGCCCTGGTCTTTGCTGTTGCTAGGCAGATGCCATCTGGTAAAACCACAGAACTGACCAGCTCCAGGACCTCATGTTCCCACTGGGTTTCTGTCCCCCAAGTGACTCTTGGTATTTCCCACCTACAGCTCCAGCCTAGCCCCCCACTGCTTTCCCGACGGCTCCCTAGGATACAGCCTGGCTCAGCCCCTCCTCATGAAGCACCCTCCAACCCAGAGTACAGCAATGTGGACCCAAGAGCTCAGCCCATGCAGGTGAACCCTCAGGGTGGGTCATTACCTCGATGGTGATGACCTCCACATGGACATTGGTTGGGAGACGCAAGCTGGGCTGGAAGCGCTTGACCAGGGCCACGAGGAGGTGCAGGGTGGCCAGGAGGTCCCTGCTAAAGATGGCTGAGATGGGGCGCACAAGTCAGAGCCAAGTGAGGCCAAAACCAGGGGCCCGATGGTGGGGGCCATGTTATCAGAGCAGCCTTTGCACACCAAGGAGATCTGTGTGTCCCCTTCTGGAAAGCAGAGGTCTGAGATGTGTATTCAGAACCTTCAGTCACCCTTCAACCCAGGCACCCTCTTCTGCAAACACAGACCACAGATATCATCTGCCACGTGGACAGAGCTGATGTCCATCGCAGCATTATTCACCACTGACAACCACCGAGTGTCCTACAGCAGGGCACTGCTTGACGACAGAATCCAGGGTCCCCATTATAAATACCAGTTACTGAATGTGAGACCTTCAGTGTGATGGCGAAGGCAGTGTTTTGTACCACAATGAAAACTAGGTTGGAAAAATGACTCTGGTCCACCATCCCCACCCAGCCTCAGCAAAGCTACTCAACTCCATTAAGGCTTAGATTTCCTCATCTGGAAAATGGGGCCGATAAAGAGACCAAGAGGAAAGGAAATGCCCACGAAAGCATTCAGGGTGCGGGGTGGGGTGGGGAGGGCTGGTCCTCTGCACACCGCTTTCCCACAAGCAGACACTGCAGATGGAATTTAAAGAATTAATTAGAGGAGTGAGTATCCACCTCACATGGCCGTTGGACACATCCTGGCCTCGCACTCAAGAAATAGCAGCTACATCATCAACCACTGTTATTATTATCAGTAATAAAAATAACACTGATTCAGAAGGAGCTCTGGTGGTGTAGTGCACAAGGCATTTGACTGCTAACCAGAAGGTTGGTGGTTTGAACCCATCAGCTACTCTGAGGAAGGAAGATGGGGCAACCTACTTCCATAAAGATTTACAGCCTTGGAAACCCCGTGGGGGTCGCTATGAGTCAGAACCAACTTGATGGCAATGAGTCTGGTTTGTTTTATTGTTACTATTATCAGAGTCCCTGGGGACTGCTAACCAAAAGGCTGATGGTTCAAGTCCACCCAGAGACACTTGGAAGACAGACCGGAAGTTCTCCTTCCAAAGATCAGTGGTTGCAAACCCTATGGAAGACAGTTCTACCCTGGGGTCGCCATGAATCAGACTCAAGTTGATGGCCACTGATTCCACTGTTGATGAGTTGACTGGGATCCAACTTCTCTGCTTTCTGACTGCTCAGATCCTAGACAAGTTCCCCTCAGAGCCTCAGCTTCCCCACCTGAACAGTGGGAGAGTAACAGGACACACAACCCTACAGTGGACACAAGCACACCCTGTGAAGAAGCTGGCCACCCCGATGCTGCTGCGACACCTTTGGGGTTACGGAAACGTGAGCGCCGTTTGCCCTCCGCCAACACGCAAGCTCTGTGCTAGCTCTTCTGGTTGTCAGGCCTGCTGCTTCTTCCACACCCAAGGCAGGTGAGTGTGTGCCTTCTGGGTAAGTGAGGTGTGCAGAAGGGCCAGGATCCCCCAACCCAGCCTGCGCCTGCCCTGGACACAGGGCCCCACATACCCTCCACACTCCATGGGGCCTGGCGCTCCTCCACCTGCAGGCTCTGGTTCGTGGCCTCCAGGACCACCGCAAGCTTGCGCCTCTGGCTGGCAGCCGTCAAGGCAATCTCCTCCACTTCTAGCTTAACTGACGTCAGCTTCTCTGAGGGTGGGAGAAGGCGGGTGAGGGCAGGAGGCGACCTAGGGTGGGCACACAGAGGGCGCCACGGAGACCCTGTGGGAGTCTGGGTCTGGCCGGTCCTTCAGGTGGCAAGGCCTGAGACACACATTGCTGGTGCCCAGGACCAACCACACCCATAGCCTCAGCTGGACATGCTTGCCAGCTCCTGGGAGCCCCCCGTCCACACAGGAAGCAGGAGCGGTGGTGCTCAAGGGCTGTGAGTGCTGCGAAGAGTGCTGGCCCAGGAGCCCGGCCCGGGTTCTGGTCGCAGCTCTGACACCCTCAGAGACGGGCTCTCAGGCAGAGACGCCCCCTCTGCAGCCTTGGCTCCTGCTCTGGGGACTATTGGGGTGGAGGAGGGGATCCCTGGGCCTGAAACACGTGCACGTTCAATATGGTGCTGACGTCCACACTCGTGATCAAATCTAGCCGTGGGAACGGACAGGGGTGTTGGGTGTGAGCTGCAGACCAGGAACCACTTCCAGGAAGGAGAGCTGGGAAAGTGCTTGGAGAGGAAAGAGGAGGGTGAGCAAGAGAAGGTGGGGAGGGAAAGAGGTAGAAGGAAGTGGGAAGGGGAGGCAAGGAGGAAGAGCTGAGGGAGAGGAAGATGAGGAGGAGGGGAGGGAGGGGGAGGGGAGGGACGGGAGGAGGAGAGGGCAGACAATAAGCGTGGCTGGGAAAATGGTGGCACTCTAGGAAGAGGGCCCAACCTCGGCAAAGGCCTGGAGGTGGGTGAGCACATGGATTGGTCAAGAAAAGGCAAGAATGGTGGCCCCAGAGCTTGGCAGGGGCAGGGGATGAGGCTGAGGGACAAGCCCGGAGGCAGGGCCAAGGGCCAGGTGGGGAGCATGGCCGAGACCCTTGGTGCCCAGGGGCAGCCACTTACGGAAGAGATGGTGCAGGATGAGGCCGTCGAACATGTCCTCCTCCAGGCTGCGGACCACGATGTGCTCGGGCAGGAGCGTGGCATTGACCCACTCCACCAGCACCTGCAGGCCCAGGGAACGGCTCACGGCCCGGCCCAACTCTGCCTTCCACCTGGAATGACCTCCTCCCACCCGCCAACTCTCAGCCATCCTCCTACCCAGGTGTGGTGTCACCTCCTCTGGGAAGTCCTCCCTGACCCCTGTGCAGGCCACACACCTGAGAGCAGGTCTCTCCCACCATCCTGAGGCTTGATGGGAGCGGATACATGAAGGCACACAGTCGGTGCTCAATTAATATTTGTTCAGGAGCTCTGGTGGCATAGCACATAAGGCATTTGACTACTAACCAGAAGGCTGGCAGTTCAAACCTACCAGCCACACCTCAGAAGGAAAACTGGGCAATCTATTTCCGTACAGACACTGCCTCGGAAACCCAAGGAGGGCTCACTATGAGTCAAATCAACTCAACAGCAATGAGTTTTTCTTTTCTTTCTTTCTTTCTTTTTTTTTTTTTTTTTTTGGTTTTTGCAACCATTCACCAGGTCTCATCCTGGGGCCAGGACAGCCTGTAAACTCCAGGACCACCCACCGGGGAAGATACCCATCTGCCCACAAGATGGCTACTTCCAGAGAAATCAGGGTTTGGTGAAGAAGGCACGGAACCTTTTGCAGTTCTTCAAACTTGGGGTCCTTCCGGGAGGTGGGTGGCAAGTATTTCCTCTTTTCTCCTGGAATCAGAGGGAACGGGGTGCATGTGTAGGGTTCCTGCAGGCACTGGGCAGCTCGCTCTTTGCAGGGCACCTGGCCTAGCACCCAGCACCAGGGACCACAAGGGAACTGGGCTGTGGAACCTGAATTCTGGAACCTCACTCCTCGAGTTCAGACTCCCAGGTCCTCCACTTATGAATGGAGCCGTCCACACCTCTGTTACCTTACGCCCTGTGCCTGAGTTTCCTCATCCATACAAAGGAGGTGATGACCCCTACATTCTGCCACCCCTCTGTCCGTTTCTCATGGTGAGGTGGTTTGCGTGTGGCTGTGATGCGGGAAGCTATGTCACCGGCATGTCAAATACCAGCAGGGTCACCCAGGGTGGACAGGTTCCAGACTAAGAGAGACTGGTAAGAAAGGTGTGATGGTCTATGTCGGAAAATCAGCCAGTGCCAACCCTGTGGAGCAGAACACTGTCCTGGGAGAGGGGCCTCTAGGTTGGAGGGCTCCCAAGACACACAGTGATCACAGCAGTGGACCCAAGCTGACCCACAGTCCTGAGGATGGTGTGGGACCAGACGACACTTCATTCTGCTGGGCAAGAATCCTTGGGTCAAGTAGGAAGTAGAAGACACAGGCAGGGTGAACAGGGTTGGCGGGCCGTGTGACCACCGGCAAAGCAATGCACCTTCCGAGCTCGGCAGGCCCAGTTCTGCAATGCACACCCCACTCTCCGCCCCGGCCTGGCTCCCACCTCCCGCCCCTGGACTCCGCACCCTGGGGGAGCTCCTCCTTTGAGGGCTGCAGCAGGTTGTAGAGAGACTCTGGCTCCATCTTCTCCTTGCCGTCCTGGAGGCTGTAGAGACAGACAGGTCTTGGTCTCACGGACTTACTCACGCTGCGTGTGCGTGACCTTCCAGTGTGACCCTGACAACCTACGGGGCTGAGGTTAGGGGGAGCTGGTTGGCCTGCGGGTGGCTGCTGGAGGTGAAGCTGGTGAGGGCTGGTGTTTGGTTCTCTGGTGCCACTTGAACAGACAATACCACAAATGGGTGGCTTTAAAAAAACAGGCATTTATTCTCTTACAGTCTAAGAGGCTAGAAATCTGAGTTCAAAGTGCCAGCTCTAGGGACTGGGTGAAGGCCCCTTGACCTTGGGCTTCAGCTCTGCCTCTGGCTCCCAGCCACTGGAGCTGGAGGCTTCTCTTAACTCAGACAGCTTGTGGCTGCTGAGGCTGACAGACCCAAGGTTGACAAAGAAAATGGCACAGTCCCAAGACTACCAAGCAACACAGCAGGCCACTAGTTCAAGTCCAGAGACAGTGCCAAGTTCAGCAGACAACATGGCAGGCCACTGAGATGCAGACACAGCCAAATGCAGGGTCCAAGGGCGCCAAAAAGCTCAGAGACCTTTCTCTAGCTTCTCCTTCTGTCCTGGAAGCAGACCACGTCCCCAAGGCACGTACGCAACTGCTCCAGCAGATTCCACCATGGAGTTGATTACCAGGCTCACGGGGAACAACTCCATCCAGCAGCCCAGCCACTCAGAACCAGGCCCAGCCAGGCTGACACATAACCTTAACCACCATAGCTGGCAGGTACCATCTGTGAGCTCTTGGGGCAGACACTGCACCTGCTCACCTGGGCCTTGAGCAGAGACAGGTCAGCACAGGGGGCAGCTCCGGCCCCAGAATGAACAGACTGGGCTGGGGAACCAACCCCACAGGCCGCCCTCCACCCCTCATCGGCTCGGCTCTCAGAGGCGGCTGTCCCTGCGCAGCCCCACAATGCCGAGGGCAGTTCCCAATCCTGCCCCTAATGGCACCCAGCACTCTCCACCTCGCAGGGTGGTTTTGGGGATTCAAGGAGCACCACCACCCACCCAGCTGCCTCAGCCAGAGCCCTGACTGCCACTGTAGACTTGGCCCAACCCCTGCTTCTAGAATCTTCTGCTCTGCCCAGCATCTTGGTGTGACCGGCGTGAACAGAGCATGGCTGGCCCTTCCTCCTCCTCCTCATTGTTATAGGTTGGCCTTGCCCTGCCCGAGAGAGGGGCAGGTTCCGGGAGCAGCCGACCTCCTTCCGTTCCGTGGGCCACTTCCTCTCCTGGGGCCTGCCTTCATGGTCGGGGTTGGCAGCTGGACTTCCTCCTTCCTCTTTCAGCTCCTGGTCCCCCCAGAGTTTGCAAACCCAGGCATTTGGAGTCGGGGTCAGGCCGCAGGAGTTGATGGTGAAGGCCCTCCCGGCAGCTCCAGCCCCCACCCAGGAAGGCCTATTCTTAGAAGCAGGGGTCCTCCCAGCTGTGTGAGTGACCATTCACAGGGCCTGGAGCCACCCACCTCAGACTATCAGCCAGCCTGAGGGCCCCTGTGGCTCCATCCTGCCCTAAAGTGAGGGGTGGGGAGAAGACTGTGTCCCCTCATCCCAAGCCTCTGGTTGGACACCAGGATCCTAGCTCAAGGGATAAGGCCTAGGTTCCCGGCCAGCACCTTCTCATTCGGGCTGTGTGGCTTTGGGCAAGCCTCCTCCCCTCTCTGAGCCCGAAGCATCTTTACAAGGATGCAGGGGCCAGAGACAGGCTGAGTCCTGCCTCCAGACATGAGCAGTCAAGCAGGTCCCTCTCTGGCCTGGGCCTCCATCTCTTCATCTAAACACTGGGGTGAACTTCCCCTGCCTCAGGCGCATGAAGCTCAAAGGCGGTGGTGAGGGGGAACCCACAGCAGGTCCCTTGCTGCAGCATAAGGACGACATGTCCCTCTTGTCTGGGCCCCGGCTCCTCACCCATCAAGTGGGGGGACAGGGGCAGGTGAGCAGCCACTGAGCACTGGACAGTGAAGGGGGGGCACTGACATTCGGGGCTCCTCTGTGCAACCTCGGATGGGCCCTGTGTTCTCTGCCTTGGTTTCCATGAGGAGACCTCCCTCTGGGGCCATGGCGCCTACTCTGCCCAGACCCCAAGCAGTATGACAGAGAAAGCTCCAGCAGCGGAGGGCCCCCATGGATGGCCACAATCGGGGAGGACTCACCTGGCTGCTTCCTCTTCACAAGGAAATGAAGAACGCAGCGGCTCAGATGGTGGGCCCCGTGTCTGAGGTTCCAAACTCAGGTTCCAGGTCCCCCAGGCCCCTGGGGTCCACACACGCAGGGCTGGGGGTGGGCTGACAGCTCACTTCCTCCTGAGTCCGCAGTGTCTGCAAGTAGCTTCCTCCTCTGGGTGCTGCAGGGCACTGGAGGAGGATGCTCTGAAGGTGAGGCCCCCACAAGCCCTCCCACAGAGCTTCCCCGAGTCCCAGCGGCCCGGCCACGCCTCCCACCCTCTCTGATGGCTCACAGCCAACCCAAAACTCACGTTCTCATTTCTCTCCTTCTCCCCTCTTCCCTCCCCAAACCAAGCTAGGTCTTCCCCAGTCTCCTCACCACCAGAATGGCAGTGCCATCCACCCAACTGCTTCCTAGGGTCACCTCCTCCCTCAGCCCCCAACATCCAACAATCAGCAAACTGGCAGCTCCACCCCACCCATCCAGGGCCACCAGGAACCCGGTAGCCTTCTCTGCTGCAGTTGGGCTCACCACTCACCTCCAGCCAGGGGTTCTCCACAAGCATGCCCAGCTCACTCAGACACCAACCACTGTGGGTTTATCAGCTAGTTAGTGCTATGTAACAGATACCCCATAGTTATAACCCAAAGCAACAACCATTTACCCAGGGTGTGGTTCTGAGGGTCCAGCTGGGCAGTTCTTCTGGTCTAGAGCACCTTGGGTGACCTCTGCAGGGCTCTCTCGTGCATCTGTGGTCAGCTACTGGCTGCTTAGCCAGAACGGCTCACTCATGTGTTTGACATTTGGCAGACTGTCCATCAGGGGCTGGCTGACGGTTGACAGTGTGGCCGCTCATCTTCCAACAGGCTAGCGCAGGCTGCTTTTTACATAGTAGTCTCAGCACAAGGAGGAGGATAAGCCTCAATGCACAAATCTTGGCTTGTGTCACATTTGCTCTTTTGTCCCCTTGGCCCAAGCAAGTCACCCTGGCCTGTCTAAGAGTCAGCGTGGGAAGGAATTACCTAAGGGCATGGGAAAGATTGCACTTCTGCAAACAATAAAGGACAGTAGGCATGGTAACCCGGATAGGAAGCAGGGCCAACGCAAACAGAATGCTCTGGCCATAGGGATTCTGGGTTGTGGACAATTGATTCTGAGGCCCCTGGGACTAACACAGACAAGCACCCAAGGTTCTACTTAATTCAAACCAGGAGAAATCCAGTCACTGATGATGGACAGTGAGCAGCACCAAATCCAAGTTCAGGCCCAAGTCAGTCCACGAACACCCTCAACTGTGATACCAAAAACCAAACCCACTGCCAGCCAGTTGGTTCCGACTCATAGCAATCCCCACTGCATTTCCAAGGCTGTAAATCTTTATGGAAGCAGCTAGAAGGTTTGAACCACCAACCTTCTGGTTGGCAGCCAAATGTCTTACCCACTACACCACCCAAGCTCCTTCTCAACTGTAATAAGTACTCCATGCTCTTTCTTGGTGTGTTACATATAACTATATACACAGATCCATGAAGATGCGCATATTCACACCATAGAGAACATCTCTTGACTTAATGTTTTCCTGGTAACGGCTCTCATTTTCAACACCCAAACTCATGTTGTTGTTGTTGTTGTTGTTGTTGTTGCCCGGTGCTGTTGAGTGGCTCTGACTCGTAGCGACCTTATGTACAACAAAACGAGACGCTGCCTGGCCCTGCGCCAGCCTCACAATCTGTCACTCCTTTGTCGGTTAGTCGTCCTGTGGTAGCTTGCATGTTGTTGTGAGGCTGGAGGCTGTGCCACCAGTATTTCAAATACTAGCAGGGTCACCCATGGTGGACAAGTTTTGGTGGAGCTTCCAGACTAAGACAGACTGGGAAGAAGGAAGGGACCATCTACTTGTGAAAACATTTCCCACTGAAAACCTTAGAATAGCAGTGACACGTTGTCTGATACGTTACTGGAAAATCCAAACTCATAGAACGTTGATATCTCTCAACACAGTGGCTTTTTTTTTTTCCCCAAAATTTATATGAGAAAACCAAACCTAGTGACATCAAGTCAAATTCCAACTCATAATAACCCTATGGGACAAAGTGGAACTGCCCCACAGGGTTTTCAAGGCTGAAATCTTTACAGAGGCAGACAGCTTCATTTTTCCCCTACAGAGTGTCTGGTGGTTTGAACCCCAGACCTTTGGATTAGCAGCCAAACACTTAACCACTGCACCTTCAGCCTTCTTACATAGGAAACATTTAAAACTGTATTTAAATCCAAAAACTCTATACAAGTTTTTGTTTTCTTTTTTAAAAGCATACATTTTAATACATTCACTTTCCCTTTCACTCTTTTCTGAATCACTGAAAAATAAATTACATCATGATACTTCATCCCAAGACATCATCCTACCATTATGGCAGCAAAGAAAAGTAATATAATATATTAATATTTTCTGACATTTCATCCATATTAAAATTTCTCTGCACAAAAATGTTCTTTACAGCTGCATTTAACTCCAGGCTCCAATTGGGGATCATACATGGCCTTTGATTGGCTGTCATGTTTCTTTAGATCCTTTCCTCCAGCACAGTCTTCAGTCTAGAACAGTCTTCAGTCTAGAACAGTCTTCAGTCTAGAACAGTCTTCAGTCTAGAACAGACTTGCACGGCATTAACTTTTGCACGAATTCAGGTCAGTGGGCTCACAGAATGCTAATTCCATCATCGGTCGTTTTTGGGTCTGCTTCTATTGACTGATTTTTCTCCTGGTTATGGATCACATTTTTCTCTCCCTTCTTAT